GGGGAAATGGAGATAACGGCGGAGGGAAGGTGGAATGGTGATGGAATTGGGCTTGAATATTGAATTCCTGGAACAAATCACCATGTACAACTTTGTAAACCATGGTGTTTAATTAAAGTGGGTGGACGTCAATTGGGAAGGTCCAGATTCTGTTTGATTTGGATTGTCCAAGGACTGCCAAGAGCAAGCTTTGAATATCGAGTGAATCTGCACATAGAGCTGGGAACAGCCCCACTGAGTGTGGCCCCGAAAACCAAAACAGAATGAATGAATGAACAAATGTATGTCAGAGTGTTAAAGAGCTAAACTCATGCAAGACGTCCGGGTTCGATCCCTGGCATCACATGGTCCCCCGAGTACTGCTGGGACTCACAAACACACACACACACACACACAATACCCCGAGAGTAGCTCCTGAGCGCTCCAGGATGTGGCCCTTGTCACTTGTCACTTGTCCCGTTGTTCATCGATTGCTCAAGTGGGTGCCAGTAATGTCTCCATTCGTCCCTGTCGCGTGACAGTGTACCCCAATGGCATATTGGGGGCTCTTTCAGGGTCAGGGGAATGAGACCCGTTATTGTTACTGTTTTTGGCATATCGAATACACCACGGGTAGCTTGCCAGGCTCTGCCGTGAGGGTGGGATACTCTTGGAAGCTTGCCGGGCTCTCCAAGAGGGGCGGAGCTCCAGGAAATACGGCGTCACCCTCTTCCAGGAGCTTTGTTTTATAGTCTCTGGATCTTGGCCATTGATGAGATTACATGGCTCTGGGGGCAGTTTGTGGGTGTAGGACTGTCAAGTTACTGGAAAACTGGGGGTCTGGGTGGAGGAGGCCCAGCCTCAATCCAAGCAGGCTTGGAGATCTCAGCCACGGGTCCCGCATACCTGGGTTCCTCTGCCGGTGTGGCCCTAAATTATGAAATATAAAAATGAACTAGGAGCTAGGGCTATGACTCCAAGGGCTGAAGGATGTGCTTCACATGTGGGGGCCTTGGATTCCAGTCTTTTTTTTGACGGGGGTCACATCCAGTGATGCTCGGAGTTGCTCCTGGCTCTGCACTCAGCAATTACTCCTGACAGTGCTCGGGGGACCATATGGGATGCTGGAGATCAAACCCCTGTCAGCTCCGTGCAAGGCAAACGCCCTATCTGCTGTGCTATCAGTCTGGCCCTATATATATATATATATATATATATATATATATATATATTACCGTGAGATACAGTTACGTGCTTACAAACTTTTGTGATTACATTTCAGTCATACAATGATGGAGTACCCATCCCTCCACCAGTGCCCATTCTCCACCACCAATGTTCCCAGTATCCTTCCCGCCATCCCACCACCCTTTAAAAAAATTTATTTTGGGGCTGGAGTGATAAAACAGTGGGTAGGGAGTTTGCCTTGCACGTGGCCCGACCCAGGTTCAATTCCCAGTATCCCATATGGTCCCCCGAGCACGGCCAGGAGTAATTCCTGAGTTCATGAACCAGGAGTAACCCCTGTGCATCGCTGGGTGTGACCCAAAAAGCAAAATAAAAAATTATTTTGTTGAATCACCATGAGATCACTTGATCACTTGACTTCCCGTTAATCGCCAATTTGCTCGTCACTTGATCACCTGACTTCCCGTTAATCGTCAATTTGCTCGAGCCAGTAACGTCTCCATTTGTCCCTGTTGCGTGCTAGTGTAGCCCAATGGCGTCTGTTCGCTCTAGGAACATGAAGAGCCTCAAACCGATCGTTCATGATCTTGATGAAGAAGTCTGACTTCTTCACCATGAGATAGAGCATTATAAAGCCATTCATGGTCAGGTTTCAGTCATACAGTGTTCCAACGCCCATCCCTCCACCAGTGTACATTTCCCAGCACAAGTGTCCCCAGTTTCCCTCCCACCACCCCCAAACTCCCACTCTCCATGGATTCCATATCTGGCACCACATGGTCCCCTGAGTACTGCTGGGTGTAATCCCCCCTCCCTATAAAGAGAAGAGGGACCGGCCCAGCAATAGACTGCCGGCCAGGGCACTGAGGCATTTGCCAAAAAGAAGTACAAGCACTACCTTGAAAAACAGATGCGGGGCTGGAGCGATAGCACAGCGAGTAGGGCGTTTGCCTTGCATGCAGCCAACATGACCGACACAGGTTCGATTCCCAGCATCCCATATGGTCCCCTGAGCACTGCCAGGAGCAATTCCTGAGTGCATGAGCCAGGAGAAACCCCTGAGCATTGCCGGGTGTGACCCAAAAAGCAAAAAAAAAGAAAAGAAAAGAAAAGAAAAAGAAAAACAGATGCGGGGCTGGAGAGATAGCACAGCGGGTAGAGCATTTGCCTTGCATGCGACTGACCTGGGTTCGATTCCCAGCACCCCATATGGTTCCCTGAGCACTGCTAGGAGTAACTCCTGAATGCAGAGCCAGGAGTCACCCCTGTGCATTGCCAGGTGTGACGCAAAAAGAAAAAAAAACAGAACAAAACAAACAAACAAACAAAAAAAAAGATGCACAGGTGACGAATTGAGAAGGAAGAGCCTTTAAAAGTCTTCTTGTATGTTTCCTTTAATATGACAGTGACTATAAAACACTCAGGGATGAGGATTGGGGAATCCCCAGTACACAGGAATCCCTCGGTATAATTGTACATTACTATTATGATGATGATTATTATATTAACAAAAATGCCAGTTTCTCCCAGACAGCAGCTCCAGTATTTCCACCCCCACAGACAGGAGGGGTCTGCCATTGCTGCCTCAGTTTGGGACACAGGGGACAAGGGAAGTGGAGTCCCGAGGCCCATCCTTACCCCAGCTGAGTCGCAAAAGCCCCCCTCCCCCACAGTCCCCCAGACTGGCAGTGCCTGTGAGCTAAGAATGATTTTTGGGGTTTGCTTTTTGGACCACACCCCATGGTGTTCAGGGGTTACTCCTGGCTCTGCACTCAGGAAACACTCCTGGCGGTGCTCAGGGGGATGCCGGGATGGAACCCCGGTCAGTGGCTTGCAAGGCAAACGCCCTACCCGCTGGATGATCTCTCTGACCCCAGGATGATTTTTTTTTTTTTTTGCTTTTTGGGTCACACCCGGCGATGCACAGGGGTTACTCCTGGCTCTGCACTCAGGAGTTACTCCTGGCGGTGCTCAGGGCACCATATGGGATGCTGGGAATCGAATCCAGGTCGGCCGCGTGCAAGGCAAACGCCCTACCCGCTGTGTTATCTCTCCAGCCCCACCCAGGATGATTTTTGGTTTTAAGTGATTACATGCTTATATCAAGTCTCTATGATTCATCTTCCATTTTCCCCTCTGGAGCCACAAAACCTATTTCTCCCCTCCCGCCTTTTTTTTTTTCCCCCACACCCGGTGGTGCTCAGGGTTTGTTCTTGGCTCTGTGCTCAGGGCTCATTCCTGGTGGGACTCAGGGGACTATCTGTGGGCTGGGGATCAAGCCTGAGTCAGCTACGTGCCCTCTCCCTGCTATAAAATATCTCTGGTCCCAGAAGCCCCTTCACCCAAGTCTCGTCTGTTTTATTTTGGGGCCACGCTGGGCAATGCTCAGGGGTTACTCCTGACCCCTACATTCAGGAATTACCCCTGGCAGTGCAAAGGGGACCTTATGGGATGCAGAACATCAAACCCAGGTCCACTGCATGGAAGCACTCTCTACCCGCTGTACTATGACTCTGGCCCCCAAACCTGAAAGATTTTACTCTGTGGCTCTTTAAGAAGAACTGAACTTGGTGTGGGAGACAGCTCAAAGGACTGGAACACATGGTGTGTGTGTGTGTGTGTGTGTGTGTGTGTGTGTGTGTGCGCGCGCACGCGCGTCTATCTGGTCCCGTTCCAGGGCAGGGTCCTCAGAGCATCCTGCAGGGAGTAGCCTGCGTATTGCTGGTGTGACCCACTCCTCTACCATACACACACACACTGCAAAGGGAAAGAAAAGGAAAACAAGCCTGAAGCCAGGGAAATAGCTTAATGGGTAGCAACACATAACCAGCTTGCACAGGGCCTGGGGTACAATCTCTGGCATCCATGACACCCCAAGTAACCCTGAGGTAGCCCCTGGAGGCCCTCATGCCCTGGAGGAGACCCTTCCCCAAAAATGAGTCTTTGTTAGGGCCAGAGAAATATTACAGCAGGTAAGTATATTGCTTGCCTGAAGAGTCCAACCCAGGTTCGATCCCCAGCATAGCATATGGTGGCCTGGCACTGCTGGGAGTGAGCCCTGAGCCTAGAGCCAGGAGGAAGCCTCTCTAAGCACAGCCAGGTGTGGCCCCCAAGCCCAACCTAACAAAAGGCCCTGTGACTGGGGCTATCATTCTTTTTTCGTTTTTTGCCTTTTTGGGTCACACCCGGAGATATAGAGGGGTTACTCCTGGCTCATGCACTCAGGAATCACTCCTGGTGGTGCTTGGGGGACCCTATGGGATGCGGGGGATCAAACCTGGGTAGGCTGCATACAGGGCAAACACCCTACCCACTGTGCTATCGCTCCAACCCTGAGGGTGTCATTCTTGACGAGACTCTGGGCTTGATCCTGTCACCACATGGCCTCTGGACACTACCTGAGCCAGAATCATTCCTCCAACCCCCAATTTTGTTTTTGGGGCTACACCCAGCGGTGCTCTTGGCTCTGTGCTCAGGGATCAATTCCTGGTGGAGCTTGTCAGGTATCAAACCTAAGTCACACACCTGAGAGGCAACACCCCACCCTGCTGTACCAACTGCCCCCCAATTTCTTTTACTTTTTGTTCTGGGATGATACCGGGTGAAACTCAGGGCTTACTCCTGGCTGTGCCACTCAGGAATCATTCCTGGAGATGCTCAGGGGACCATGTGGAATGCTGGGGCTTGAACCCCAGTTGGCCATGTGCAAGGCAAACAACCTCCCTGCTGTTCTATCGTTCCAGCTTCACGCCCCAAATATTTGAGGAAGGAATGAAATGAACTGGGGTGCTGGGCTGAACTCTCTGGGCTGGGGTGCAGCTCTGCTGGGTGGGTCAGAGCTCGGGCGGATTTGGGGCAGCCCGGCGGGCACGGCGGGGACAGCCCCAGCGATCCCGCAGGCAGAAGTGCCACACGAGGGCAGAGCAGCTGAGCAGGGCCAGGGCGGTGCCCACCCCGATGGCAGCGTTCACCAGCGTCTGGGGCCGGGGCGGCATGGTGAAGTATCCACAGGGCCCGAAGGCAGGGCCGGCCCCCCCGGGCAACCCACTCTCTCCAGCCCCGTTAACCGCCACCACGCACACCACATAAGCACCCCCGGGGGTCAGTTTCCTCAGTTCTGCTCTGCGGAAGGTGGAGTTGAGAGGGGGGCCCCTCTGGGGTGTCCCCTTGCCGCCGGGCCAGAGCAGGAGCCAGTACTGGTCGACTGGGGAAAAGGGGGCGCACCAGTGCACCACTGCGTTGCTTTCCTGGGCCATCACCTGCACCTCCCCCAGACGCGGGGGGTGGGGGGGCAAGGCCGGGCTGGACAGCCCCGGGCACAGGCAGGCGGTGGGGCCCGCCCTCTGGAGCTCCTTGCAGGGCACCTGCAGATGGCGACAGGGGTCATAGTCACAGCGGGTGGCAGGCGACCGAGATGCCTCCTCTTCGTCATCCTCTTCCTCCAAATCTTGGGGGGGCAAGGGCTGCGCCCCCAGAACCAAGGAGATGCTGAGTACCAGGAGCCATGGAAGGCAGGGAGAGCCCCGCATGATCTGGAAGGGAAGGAGATGGGTTGGGGCAGGAAAATGAGCCTTTCGGGCCTGGGAGCCAACTCTGTGGGCACTGGGGGAGCATGGAGACCAGGGGGAAGGACACCCACACATTCATTCATTCATTTTCAGCCTTATTTTGTTTTTTGGTGGGAGGTTAGGACCACACACAGCAGCTTTAGGGAGGATAACTCCTAGCTTTGTGGACACGGATCACTCCCAGTGATGCTTGCGGGAGGGACCATGTGGTCCAGAAATCTAACCAGGGTTGGGGCCGGAGCGTTAGTAAAGCGGGGAGGGCGTTTGCCTTGCATGGGGTCGACCCAGGTTCAGTCCCTGGCATCCCATATGGCATCTGGTCCCTTGAGCACAACCAGGAGTAATTCCTGAGCGCAGAGCCAGGAGTAACCCCTGAGCATTGCTCAGTGTGACCCGCCCCCCCAAGAAAAAGAAAAAAAGAAAAGAAAAAGAAATCTAACCAAGGTTGACTGTGGGCAAGGAAAGTACCTTATTTATTGCTTTTGGTGCTTATTCTGGGGCCTCGTCAGGGCTCTGAGCTCAGTGGCTACTCCTAGCAAGATTCAGAGGACCATATGCTGCTCCGGGGATTGAAGCCAGGTCAGGGATGTTTATGGCAAACATCCTAGCTGCCGAACCATCGCTCTGGTCTTCAACTTTACCTGCTTTTTCACTGCTGAATTGAATTTCACCATTCACCTACCAGTTTCAGAAAGGGCCAAGCGCTTGGTTTCACGCAAAAGATGAATGAAATGGGCTAGGGAGATGGTCCACAGCGCTGAGCACACGCTTTGCTTGCAAGAAACCTGGCCTGCACAGTCCCCAGAGCACCATCAAGAGTGATCTTTGAGGGCTGGGTAAGGTGCTGGCCTTGCATATGGCTGACCTGGGTTCGACCTGTGGTATCCCATACAGTCCCCTGAACGAAAATTGAAAAACAAAAACTGAAAAAGTAAGAGTCGCCCGTGAGCACTGCTGGGTGTGGTGCTCAAAAAAGCAAGATTAAAAAGTATATAGTTTGACACCAAGCGTGTGCCAAGCGCCAGCCGCAGCTCGCGAATGAACAAAGAAAGAGTGGAAACAGATTTCGTCCGTTTAGGAAGAAAGGTGATGTCCAGCCAGAGAAAAGAGCTGAGTGGAATAAATACCAGCCGGCCACACATGCAAACACTTTAGAGCGGAGACAGTGAGGCAGAAGGGAAAGAGGGAACCCCCCATTCCCCGCTTACCCCGGAGCCCTGGGCCCTGCCTTCTACCCGGCCGGCGGCAGACTGTCCCCCGTGGGTCGGCCTCAGAGGGGATCTGAGCTCAGAAGTCTGCAGGGAGCAGGCCACGGGGTTACGGGGTCCCCCGGAGTGCGGGGTGCACGGCAGGTTGTGTCAAAGTTCTCAATTTCGATTCTGTGTTGACTCCGGGCTTCTCTGCCTGTCCACTCTGAGGTCACCACCTAGCCCCCCTCCTTTGGGAGGGCCTGAGTCACCGGCCACCGGGAAAGCCTCAGCTGGAGGCCCGGGTGCCTGGGTTCGGGAAGGAGATTGGAATGTGGAGCCGCCCGGCCGGGCTGGGCTGAGAAGCCACAGGCTGAAGTCATGTGAGGGCCGAGCAGGGGCACGGGCCGAGGGCCACCTGGCTGGTATGGAGGGGAAAACAGCTGTGGGCCGCGTGAGGCCGGGTGACAGAAATCTGCTTTCGCAAAAAAAAAAAAAAAATCACACCACCACATCTCTGGCAGTCATTTCCTGTCTTCTGCCTCCCAAAGGACAGAGGGAGGGAGGGAGGGGTGCAGAGGCCAGCATGAGGTAGCCCAGTTGTGGGGACCCGCCCTCCACCAGTCCCCAGCCTCGAGGGGGCGGAGATCACATGGCTGAATGGGCACTATGAATGGAACCCACTGTTCCTAAAATACTGGGGGGGGGGGGGGGCTTAGCAAGGGGTGGGGACTGCCCCTGGCCCATGGCCTCCTCCGGTAGGGTCAGGGGGAGCCCCAGACTTCCTAGTACCCCCCCCCCCCCAGCAGAAACAGAGAGGCAGCCCACATGAAAATAGTTTATTGGGAGAGCAGGGTGGTGGGGGGCGGGGGACAGGGACAGGGGCGGTGAGCCAGGGCTGGAATGTGGGGTGCCAGAGCTCAGGAGCTGGAGCAGGTGGAGCGCTGGCGCAGGGTGCTGGCGGGCTCGGCGCTGCCCAGCGTCTCCGGGGCCGCGGCAGGGGCAGCGGCGGCAGGCGGGTTGGCCTCCACCAGGGCCGCGTCTTCCCAGGAGCCAGAGCCTGGGGCAGAGGGCAGAGAAGCCGGGCATCAAGTGGGGGTGGGCCCCACCGGGACCCCCTTCCTCCCGCCCAGGCCAGGCCCACCCACCCTCACCGTCGCTGGCCTCCGCGGGCTCCTCCTCGCCCCCGTTCTCGGGCTGCCGGTCCGGCTTCTTCTCCTCCACGGCCGCCGCAGGTCCCTCTGTGCCCACCAAGGAGAGGCCCTGGTCAGACTGGCAGCGGCTAAGGGGCAGTGGGGGGGTGGGGGGCGGCATTTTACCTGCCCCTTGGGGCTCCTCCGGGCCTTCCCCAGGGCCCTCTCCGTCCTCTCCAACGTCCCTTTGCTGGCGGGGCTCCTCCTGGTCTTGGGGCTCTGTGAGGCCAAAGCAGGGACAAGACAGGGCTCAAGGGGTGCTGCCTGCCCGGAATTTCACGCATGGCGATTCCCTTCTTTTCTTTTTTCTTTCTTTTTTTCCTCTCTGGGTCACACCCAGCGCGATGCACAGGGGTTACTCCTGGCTCTGCACTCAGGAATTACTCCTGGCGGTACTCAGGGGACTGTATGGGATGCTGGGAATCGAACCCAGGTCGGCTGCGTGCAAGGCAACCTCCCCGCCCCCCCGTTATCACTCCAGCCCCCTGCGCACTTCCCATCTTTATTGCTCCTGGGCCACACCCTGGAGTGCTCTCTGCTACTCCCCAGTCTGTGCTTAAGGGAGGGGGGGGTTGAAGGGGGGAGGGCGGGTCCCTTCTAGTGGTACTGGGGAACGCGGCCAGGGTCTGAGCAGCCCACTGGGCCCCCGCTCCCGCCTGTGGAGGTGCTGGCAGAACCCTACCCAGCCCATCAGAGCCGGGGTGGCCCACCCATTACCTGGGGCAGTGATGGGAGCAGGAACCGCCACCCGATGATGGCGCGCCCCCCTGGGAAGGCTGTTTCTCCTCCGGCCCTGTGGGGAGAAGCTCGTGAGCGTGGGTTGTCCCCCTAGGGCTCAGGGCCCAAGTACCCGGCCCCTCACACGCCCACGCCCCACGGGCCCATGGCCCCCGTGTACCCATGACCGGTCTGTCCATGCCCCCACGTGTCCACGCCCCCCACATCCCCCCCATCACAAAAGGGAGCAGAATGTGGGGTCCCAGGTGACCTGCTGAGAGGGGCGGGCGCGGGGCCAGATGCCCCCCCACTCCCACTGCAGGTAGCTGAGGAGCAGGATGACGCTGAGGAAGGTGAAGTTGCTGGCGATGCCCACGGAGGCGCAGGTCATGGGGAAGTGGTACAGCAGGTACCTGCAGGAGGGAAGGCAGAGCAGGGGGTGACGGGCGCCCGGCCTCCACCTCCCCCGCCTCCCACCCACACCCAGCTCTCTCAGCCCCACAGGGGACCCCCACCCCCCATTGGGCAGCTGGAGTCAAGGGTTCGAGACAGGAGTCCTCAGGGCTCTTCCCATCAGCACCCCCTGGGCTGGTGAGAGCACAGTGGGGAGGGCTCTTGCCTTGCACGAGGCCGACCCGGGTTCAATCTCTGGCACCTCAGATGGTCCCCACCCCACCACGGGTAAGCCCTGAGCATTGCCCGGTGTAGGCCCCCCAAGCAAAGTCAGACAAATAGAAGAACCCTGGTGAGGCCTGGGAGAGCAGGCTGAGGTTAAGGTGCTTGTCTTGCGTGTGGCTAATCCCAGTTTAGTGCTCAGAGCACCACGGGGTGTGGTTCCCCTCAGAACAAATCACTGTCACTGTCACTGTCACTGTCCTCCCATTGTTCATCGATTTGCTAGAGCGGGCCCAGTAACACTGTGAGACTTGTTACTATGTTTGGCATATCGAATATGCCACGGGGAGCTTGCCAGGCTTTGCTGTGTGGGCGAGACACTCTCGGTAGCTTGCTGGGCTCCCCAAGAGGGGCGGAGGAATCGAACTTGGGTCACCCATGCTGACTGTGTGCAAGACAAACGCCCTACCCGCTGTGCTATCGCTCCAGCCCCAGAACAAATCAAAAAAAGAAAAAATAAAAGAGCTTGATGGGCAGAAAGGAGCCCAGCAATTCTGATCTGGAGGTGCTGGACCCAACACCACGGCGTATTTCGAGTCTTCCAGAGAGTTGCGGGGCTGCTATGCAGCCAGGGTGACGGAGGCTCAGTGGCCCGTCTAGCATGCTTCTGTTGCCCGGACCCTTCGTCTGAATCCCAGCAGTACATCTGGTGTCAGGTGCTCCCAACACCCCGGCCCGGGACCACCCGGGTGGGACCCCCTGAGCACAGAGCCAGCTCGAAAACCAAACCCCCCCTCAATAAAAAAACAAAGGAAAAACAGAAGCAAGTGACGTCTGCTCCCTCCCTGGGCTGGGGCCCCTTCACCTGAGGGCAGCCCGCACCCCGCCCCCCTCCCCCCCCGCCCCCGTGTGTGCGGGGGGGCCCTCACCTGAGCCCCGTGAAGTGGGCGTTGATGCGCAGGTAGGCGCCGTACATCTGGATGCGCTTGCTGTGGATCTCGAGGAGTACCCCGGTGGTTGGCACGTACTGGGGGATGAGGGCAGGGCACGGAGGCGTCAGGGAAGGAGCCGCGCCGCCAAGGCCCCCCCCCATCACCCGCCTCGCTCGGCGCCCTCCCCCCGTTACCGAGTTCTCTCTGTAATCCTGGTACAGCTCCACCTCCAGGATCTGCTTCTGCTCCAGGAAGCCGGACAGCAGCAGGCTGGAGAAGACCAGCGTGTCGAGGGTCTGCAGCAGGCTGGAGCGGTAGTGCAGCATCACCTGCGGGCCGTGGGGGAGGGGCCGGGTGAGGGAGCCGAGCCGCTGTCCCGCCCCGCCCCCAGCCTCTCCCTCAAGCACCCCCCCCCCACTCCTGTCATCTCCAATGTTGGCGAGCACCTCTGCCAGAGCCCTGAGAGGTTAGCTGGCTTTTCTGGGGGTGGGGGACGGGGCTTGGGGCCCCACCTGGCGGCGCAGGGGATGGAACCAGGGGTGGCAGCATGCATGGCCAGCGCCTGGACCCCTGGACTGGCTCTCTGGCCCTGAAGCCGGGGACTTTTCCCATAATTCAGAACAGACAAGGCTCCCCACAGCCCCCAGCCTGGGTAGACACGTGGGGATGTGCTTTGGGACGCCCTTCTGCACAGAGTCCAACGCTGGCTGAAACTCCGTAGCGAGCAGGTGGATGTGCCCCATGTCGTTGCCAGAGCGACCTGGCTCTGAGAGCTTCGCCACCCCTTCATAAAAAGTCCTGGCCGGGACTTTAAAGTCACCCCTCAGGGCTTGGAGTGATAGGAGGGTAGGGCATGCATTTGCCTTGCATGTGGCTGACCCAGGTTCGATTCCGAGCATCCCATAGGGTCCCCCGAGCACCGCCAGGAGTAATTCCTGAGTGCATGAGCCAGGAGTAACCCCTGTGCATCGCGGGATGTGGCCCAAAAAGGGTAAAAAGAAAAGTCACCCCTTGGCCTTCACCCCAAAGCTCCATGATGCTCGTCCGCGCTCTGAGGCTGTGTCTTGAGTTTGGCGGACTGAGGGATGTTTTTTTTTCTCCCCAAGTTTTGGGGTCACACCCCATGACACTCGGGGCTCAAGGGACCGGTATGGGGCGAAGAGGATCAAACAGGGTCGCCCTATGCCAATCTGCAAATTTCTCGAGCCCCCAGATGTCTCTCTTATATGCTGATGTGTGTGTGGCCTCAGTGCTGAGATGTATCTCTGTGGAAGCCCTTAGCTGGGGAGTCGGACCACTGTCCCCGCTCTCCTAGTCTCCTGTCCCCACCCTTCCGGAGACGGGTCGGAAACACTTACGGAGCGCGAGTTGCTGGAGACGATGCGGCCGCCTCTGGTGTAGCAGGAGATTGTCACCAAGAACATGCCCAGGTCTTGGTTGGTGGGGGATTCCGGGAGCTCCAGCTCCAGGGTGATGCGGTACGGCTGCCCGTACATCAGCACCTGCCCGAGGGGCGCCCCATCTCTTTTTTTAAAAGGCTTAAATAAAAATAATCGTCCTCCTGCACCTCCCACCTCACCCCTACAAATAACTGCAGCGATCCCCCCCCCCCCACTTGGAGAGAGGCTCTGCAGGGCCCCCGCCCCGAACGAGTGCTGCCCCCTGGTGGCAGACCACGGGGCTGAGCCACATCTCCGGGCGCCCCCCCCCTCCACCCCGGGTTCTTCCTAGTCCCACTCCTGCCGCTAGGAGAAGGGCTGTGTCACGTCCCTTTTGCAAAAGTGAGCCGTGGCATTGCCAAGTGGGCCATCTGTGACTCAGGCCTGCGGCCCCGGGAGACCGTCCTCCAGGGCCTTGCTTCGATTATTAATTAACCGAGCGCCAGAAGCGCGCGCAGCTGCTCCGACTCTGGCCGGTGGTGGCCCAATCCGGCGGCTACGCTGAACGCGCCACTGAGCATCACTATCCCCACCCCCCCAGACTATTCCTATCTTCCTTTGGCCAGTAGCTGGGCAATTCAACAGCGTCAGGGTGCTATAGACGAGCCATAAGTCAGGGGCAAGAGCAACAGTACAGTGGAGAGCGCGTTCGCCTTGCAAGCAGCCCACCTAGGTACGATCCCCGGCAACCCCTATGATCCCCCCAAGCACCGTCCGGAGCAATTCCTGAGTGTAGAGCCAGGAATAACCCCTGAGCATCACTGGCTGTGACCCAAAAAGGAAAAAAAAAAGAGTCATAACCCAGAGACCCGGCCTGCATGAAGAGGCAGGTGTGCTTCCCTGAGCACTGCCAGGCGTGGGCCTAAAACCTCAAAAACAGAAGACCCATAAAAATAAAATAACTTATGTGTTTAATCGAGGTGTATTTTTCTCTTTTTTGAAGCGGAGGGGTTGGCTTGGGGGGGCCACACCCAATGGTACCTGGGGTTACTCTTGGCCATGCTCAGGACTTGTTCCCAGTGGTATCAGAGACTGAACCTCCCACATGCAAAGCCTGCCTGACCCACCACATACTTTCTCTGGCCCTTATTTTGCTTGTTTTATTTTTTTGAGCCACACCCGGCAGTCAGGTACTCTCCTGGTATACTTCGGGGTCTGCCAGGTAGGTGAACGCCCTGCCTGCTGTACTATCTCTCCGGCTCCCGACCCTTTTTTCTTAAGTTGGAAAACACTGCCCAGGCTCACAGTGAGCCGGCTTCAAAATCCATGGGTGGACAGAGGGTGCTCCAAACATTTCCTCAGTAGGGCAGGAAGTGGAAAGACTCTCAAACTTCCTTACATCCTGTACTGCCTGATTCTGGTTTTGAAGGCTTTTTTTTTTTTTTCCTGGGGGAGGGGGGAGGCGGGGGAGTGGAGGGTATCCAGCAATGCTCAGAGTTCACTCCTGGGGCTGCATCCTGGTCAGGCAGGTACCTTACCTGCTCTACTACCATTCCAGCCCCGGAAGCCTTTTCCTTATACATTTTCACATTTCAGTCTAAATGATAAAATTCACAAGATTCATACCGGGTGCAAGGCCAACCTCCTACCCACTGGGTTACTGCCTGGCTGAGACTATTTCTTTCTCCCTTGAGCTTCCTGGAGTGAAGTCAGCGACCTTCGGAACACTTTCCAAGACTCATTTTCAAAAGACATTCAGAGTTTCTGCCTGCTTGGCTTTGGGGCCACAGGTGGCAGCGCTCGGGGTTTGCTGCTGGGTGGCCCGGATTGTGAGGTGCCGGGGATCGAACCTGGGCCTCCTGCATGCAGAGGACGAGCTCAGCATGTTCAGCTCTTTCCGGTCCTAGATTCTTAGTAAGACGGACGACTGCTTCTGACGGCAACACTCGTGACCAGAGCAACAGCACAGCGGGTAGAGCACTAGTCATGTTCAACCCGGAGCACCCTACGTGGTCCCCTGAGCCCTACAAGGACTGATCCCAGAGCACAGTCAGGAGTAAGCCCTGAGCACTGCCAGGTACAACCCAAAAACAGGAAGGAAGGAAATGAGGAAGAAAGGAAGGGAGAGAGGGAAAGAGGAAGGGAAGGAAGGAGGAAGAAAGGGAGGGAGAGAGGGAGGGAGGAAGGAAGGGAGGAAGGAAGGAACGGAGGGAGGGAGGGAGGGAGGGCAGGTGGGTTGGAGCAATGATACAGCAGGTAGGGTGCTTGCCTTGCATGTAGCCAACTCAGATTCAATCCCCGACACCCCATATGGTCCTCCCCGCCAAAGACCTGCCACAAGTGATCCCTGAGTGCAGAGCCAGGAGTCTATCTTGAGCTCAGCTGGTGTGACCCAAAACCAAACAAACAAAGATTACTTATTGGGGACCAGAGAGATAGCACAGCAGGTAGGGCACTTGCCTTGCACCTGGCTGACCTGGGTTTGATTCCCTGGCATCTCATATGGTCCCCTGAACACTACCAGGACTGATCCCTGAACACAGAGCCAGGAGTAAGCCTTAAGTACAGCCTGATGTGGGCACTCCCCCCCCCAAAAAAAAAACAGACCAAAAAAAAAAAAAGAAAGAAGGAATGAAAGGAAGGCAGGGATATATATATATGTATATACATATATATGAGATAGGTAAGGTAGGTAAAGGCCCTCCCGTTGATCGTCGATTTGCTCGAGCGGGCCCAGTAACGTCTCCATTGGAGACCTTGTTGTTACTGTGTCTGGCATATCGAATACTCTCGGTAGCTTGCCGGGCGGCCGGCCCGAGTTTGATATATGAGATAGAGAGAAAAATAAATCTGCATTCTTTTTTTTTTGAGAGGCCACTCCTGGAGGTGCTTGGGGGATGGGGGATTCACTCCCTGGTCCCCCCAAGTCATGCCCAGAACTGAACTGGGAATGGCAGTGTCCAACACAAAGCACTTTAACCACTGTGCTATCTCTCTGGCCCCATTCTGCACTTCTTAGGGCTTCAGGCTAGCTGAAGTCATGCTGGCCCCTGGCCAGTCCTCTGGCATACTAGCCTTTGTAATGACAGACCACACGGAGGTGTCAACACTTTCCCAACTCTCCCTGCCAGCTCTCAGAACTCAGGGGGAAGTACTGATTCCCACCCCTGTCCCCTAAGCAGCTGAATGAAGTAAGTCCGCCCAAGTCTAAGACACACTTCCACTCAGAGACGCACTTGACGGACACAATTTGAAGCAAAACTCACCGTTCAACTGGACTCTGGTTTTTCTCTCCGCTCCCTTTCCTTGAGAGCCTTGCTCTTACGACTCTGTTACTCAATCCCTGTTCTCCAGGTCTTTCTCAATCCTTCCTATGTCAAGCCATCCACGCTCTACTGAAACCATACTCACCCGATCTCGTCCACTCTTCGCCAGCGAGACGTTGGCAACAGGGAAGGAGCAGAGCAAGGGGGAGAGGTCTTCACAGTCGGTCCTGCGGGAGAACGGGGACGGAACTCCACTAAGAGTCCACCTGATCACGCCACACCCCTTGTTGGACCCCTCGGCTCCCTCCTATCCCCACTTAACTTTCCTAGAGCAGAATCTCTATTACATAGTGATATGTAATAGAAGCAATATGTATTAGAATAGAATCTCTCTTACAGAGAGGAGAAATATTTGGGATCTGGATATGGAGAAATGATTACTTTTTTTTTGCTCTTGTTGATGCTCAGGGCTTACTTCTGGTTCTGCACTCTGAGATCACTTCTGTTGGGCTCAGGGGACCATATGGGGTATATGGGGTGTGGCAGATTAAACCTGGCTTGGCCACCTGCAAGGCAAATGCTTTACCTGCTGTACTATCCCTCTGGCCCCTGTGTGTTTGTAAAGACTCACATCGCTTAGGGAAGTTTATAAAAATGTAGATTTCTTGGTCTCATCCACTAAAGCTTCCTTTGAGAAAACTCCTTCAGTGGAATCCACATGTTTTTATTTCAAGAGGCTCACAAAAGCCTTAAATTTCGAGCAAAGCTGCACGTGTGTTTGTGTGTGTATGCCACAAACTGGCATGTATAAGCAGTTTTCTTATGTTTTTTTTCGGGGGGTGTCTGTCACCCAGGGATGCTCAAAGACTTACCCTTGGCCCTGCACTTGGGGATCACTTCTGGCTAGACTCAGGGATGCTGGGGATTGAACCTTGCAAGTGGACTGGCCACGTGCAAGGCATCTCTCTGTACTTACCCCTTTGGCCCCCTCTATAAACAGGCTCATAGTCAAAGGACTATAGCTTTGATCTATACCTTCTTAAATATAAGCAATGGCCATGAAACCATAGTTCATGACTAGGGAGGAAGGGGTTCAGGTGTGTGTGTGTGTGTGCGTGCGTGCGCACACGCACACACGCATATGAGCGTGCACTTGCACCTATACTTTTGGAAGGACCAGAGTGATAGGTTAACAGAGTGAGCACACGCCTAGTATGCCCAAGACCCATGTTCAGTCTCCGGAACTGCATGACCCCCAGCATAGTTGGGAGCTACCCTTGAGCTGGTGCTGAAAGTAGTCCTGGGCTCTCCCCGGCCCCGAGCACCATGGGTATGCCTGCCTCCCAAACCAAAAACAACAACAAAAGGGACAGACTTTGGATCACGCATAATAATGCTCTCACCACGATCTGTTTTTGTTTTGAGGTCATACCGCAACATCCAGAGATGCGGGGGGGGGGGGGGGTATGTTCCAGGCTCAGTGCTCACTTCCAGAAGTGCTCTGGGGATCAAATTGGGGTTAAGTGCACGCAAGGCATCCTTTGGCTATTCCCAGCCTGCTGAGCTATCTCTCTGGACCTCCATTTATCTTGTAATCAGTGAGACAGTTTGGCAGAAATCTATAAGCGGAGGAGGAACTGAAGAGTGTGCGGAGCAGAGCATTCTGGGAGTTTATCTACGGAGTCACCTGCTCTTCCCATAATCTCTACTGTGCAGCAAACTAGTTCTGAGATGACCCAAGGAGATCGGCTGGCTCAGCCACCCGCAGACTCCGAGAAGCTGATCCAACCAGAACAGACAGGAGAGAGGGGGCCAGGCAACAGCACAGTGAGGAGGGTGTTTGCCTTGCACATGGTCAAGCCCGGTTCCATCCCCAGCATCTCACATGGTTCCCTGAGCACTGCCAGGAGTAACTCCTGAGTGCAGAGCCAGGAGCAACCCCTGAGCATCGCCGGGTGTGACTCAAAAAGACAAAAACAAAACAACAACAACAACAACAAAAAACCCTCAAAACCACAGGAGAGACGTGGACTTCACCTAGACCTTCCGTTTTATTCATTTATTTGTCTTCCCTTTTATTTTTACAGAGCTGCTGTCCTATGGCTCTGGCCCGCCTTCTTTTGGGGGGCTTATATGCCACAGCCAGCACTGCTCAGGGCTGACTCCTGGCTCTGTGCTCAGGAATCACTCCTAGCGATGCTTCGGGGACCCGGCGTGGTGCTGTGGATCGAACCTGGGTCAGCCGCATGCAATGCAAACACCCTTCCCTGCTTTACTCTCTGGCCCACTCATCAGATTTTCGTAACGAGAAGTCAAACAGGACTGTAGCATGACCGTACCTTGGGCCAGGATAGGTAAAAAGTCACATGGACACCTTGTACTAAGAATCTCCCTCTTCTGGAAAGGAGGGGGGTGGAACCGAGCCAGCCCTAAGCACCAGACCCCAGAACCACTGTCTCCCAGGATCCCTTCACTCCCCCTCCCTCACCTGTAGTAGAAGTTCACGGGGCTGAGGTGGCTGACTGTTGGCATGTACGAATAGTAGAAGGAGCCGTAGAGGAAGATTGACACCCAGAGGAGGAGGAGAACCGTGCAGAACAGCACCCCGAACTGCAGCAGCAGCTTGCGGGCTCGGCTCGCCATCACTTGGCTCAACTCCTGTGCCCACAGCAAGGAAGGTAACGGGGGGTCGCCCACCATGGCGGCCTGTGCGGGGGGTCTGGCTCCAGGCTCCGGCCTCGCGTTCCTCGCTGCTCTGCCACCTGGACGCCACCCCTGGCCATGGGCTGGTTCCTGGAAACGGACAAGAGATGGGGAAAGAGCGCCCGCTTTCCTGGGGAAGGTGGGGACACTGAGCGCCACTGGTTGGACTGCCAGAGATAACAAGGCACAGCAGAGTCTTTGTTTCACGGGGCCTGTCTCCAAATGATCGCAGCTCGCGGCTCCTTATCCCTTCCCTTTCCTCCACTGCTCCCTCTTCGCCCTCCTGGTGCCACCTCTACAACGATCCCGTCAGAGGAACAGGGCACAAGCACCTTAAAATTCTTACAGGGCACTGGGGCAGGAGCGATAGTACTGGGTGGGTGGGTAGGACACTTGCTCTGTACGGGGGTGATCCATGTTCAATCCCTGGCACTGGCACCTCACATGGGGTCTCCCCAGCCTGCCAGGCGTGATCCCTGAGCACCGAGCCAGGAGAAAGCCCCAAACACACACAACTCCCCGGACAGGTCGCTTGGACACACACATATGCGCGCGATGCTGAACGCTTTTACACACACACACACACACACACACACACACACACACACACAACCTCACGACGCTGCGATACTGCTGTCAGGAGAGGCTGTCGCAACCTAAGCAGAGTTTTTTTGCTCTTCGCTCCCCACGCCGGGCATGGTGTCCAGCAGTCAATGGCCGCTGCCCACCCTCCACCCTAACCGCGTCACTACCATGGCAACCGGCCCGCGGGGCCGCGGCGCTGCGTGGACTCACCAGCTTAGCGCGCTGCCGCTGCCGTGGTAACCGAGAGAGGGGGGGACTTCCGCCTGCCGCAGCCCCGCCCCCGCAGGCCCGCCTTTGTAGCCTGGGGGCGGGGCCTAGCGTGTTGCCGGGGCAACCGAGTGATTTGGGGGCTTCCGCCTGCTGCGGCTCCGCCCCTGCGCGGCCCGCCATTGGAGCCGGGGCGGGGCCTAGGTTTCGGGGGCGGGGCCTGGCGCGGTGGGGCGGGGCCTGGAGCAGCCGGGGCGGGGCCAGGCGGCCGGGACCCACCTCCTCGCACTCCGCTCTGGTCCCTTGCAGTGGTCCGTTACCACCCCCAGCCGGGTTACTAGGGTTACCTCGACCAGCGCTGTGAGATGCTTTCCTCCAGGCCCCAGCGCATGCTCTATGTTGCCAGCGTCCCCCCTCAATCCATCCTCCCCGGGGCAGCACTCACGGCCTTGCGCCCGTACCTTTGCCCTCAGCCCAGAAAAGGCGGAGAGGGGTAGCACCCGGTCGGTTCGAATGGTTCTTGGCCTCGGGGACCTGCAGCCTCCAAGGCAGAGAGCGAAGCTCCCCGAGAAAGGTGGGCACCAGAGGGGGCCCGACGTTGCGTCATTCGCGAGCGGGGCAGCATCTCCGTCCGCCTATCCAGCATCCAGCTTCAGAGATGCCTAACCGAGTCCCGCACACCCCCAGACACGCGTGCCCACCCCCACCGCCACCCCCGTGTGTTACTTAGACTATGTTGTTTCTGTTCACCGCAGAGTATTTTGTTTCGGGTCGTCCTACACATTCTGTTCATCATCCCAGACTATTTTGTTTCTGGGCATCCCACGGAAGCTACGGTGGCTGTGCCGTACACCCGTTGCCTTTCCCCAGCACCAAGCTGCAAGCACGCATAGGAGGTAATCGCAAGCCCATGCCCCTGAAGTCGGGTGGCCCATTTCTAGAAACATCGGTGGCCTGTCTCTGCCCAATCCGCCCCTACCTACCTCCTCTCTGTTGGGTCCCCTGATCTGCTCTCCGCCTTCTCTTCCCACGGCTCTTCTTCTCACGGCTGCCATTTCGTTTGTGGCCTCCCTCGCTGGCCCTGAAGGCCCCACTGGAGTGGCTGGAACACGGAGTGATGTGCTCTCGACGCTGAAACCTGTAGAGCGTCACATTTTCCTGGAGGGTCCCTGGGAGAGAACGGGAGCTTCAGGTGCTAAATGCTGTGTCACAGTAGGGGAAGGAGGGGAGGAGAGGAGGGCAGGAGGAGGGGGGCTTGCGCCCAGCTGATGTCAGATTTCCAAATGAGCAGGGTCCCCTCGGCAGCCAGTCCAGACTTTACTGCAGGGGCTGTCATAGGTCCAGACCACCCCATTTGGTGGGGGAGTCCTGTCTGGGCTTCTGCTCTCTGCAGTCCCTTCAGCAGGGGTGGGAGAACGCTCTGGCGGCAGATAGAGCATGCCTGCAAAAGGGGAGGTGCAGGGAGGGAGACGGTAACATGGGGGCTGTGTGCGTGGGCCGCGGGTGGCAGCTAGGTCCCCCCACTGGCCAGGCAGTTGGTATGCTCCAGGATCTGAGCAGTTCCTTCCAGCATCCTTCATCCTTCAGGTACCAGACGTCTGGGTAGTGGCTTGGGTGGCAGAAACTGGCATCAGCCCTCGGCAGACCCCTGCCCTGAGCCTCCCCAGGGCCCTTCTCTCTTGCGGCTGCTTCTAGGGTTCCATCAGATACACTGGGCTGCAACTCCCTGCAAGGTGGGGTGCTCTTGCGTCTCGGGAAGAAGGTTTTGGTGCATCCCACGGACCTGATCCCCGCTGTTCTGCTGTGGTGGGGAGCCTCAGGTGAGTGGGGAGTCTGCTGCTTGCCTCCCCTGGAGGTTCAAGGGGGCAGGTGGGGGGCTGGGTGCCCTCCTCAGCAGGGCGGGGCTTTCTCTGGTTGAGGCTGTCAGAGCCCAGGGCGCACATGGAGCCCACCGGGGTGGAACGCTTGCGGCTGAACTGCTCCAGGCCGGGGCCATGAAGGATTTGGGAGGTGGGGGAGTATCTCATCCTACCATCTTCGTTTTCTCACTTGGGGAAGACAGGGATGGGCAAAGACCCCCGGAGGCAAGGAGGGGAGGATGAGATGGGAACGGCAGGCCCGCAGTGTGAGCCCAGGAATGGAGGGGCGGCGCTTCGGCAGAGATGGGGCAGGGTCCCGGCCATGCACCCAGCTGCCTCTCCTTCAGGATGAAAGGAGAGACCCCGGTGAACAGCACCATGAGCATCGGGCAAGCCCGCAAGATGGTGGAACAGCTGAAGATCGAAGCCAGCCTGTGCCGGATCAAGGTGGGTGGGACCCTGGGGCGCAGGCCAGGCTGGGCCTAGACCTCGGCCGAAGGGATGATACTCTCTCCCTGCACGTTCTGCAGCCTACAAAGGGGGCGCCGAGAAGCGCTGCCCCCCAGCACTGGAGGGGCTGAGGGAGGAGCATCCCCCTTCAGGAGCCCTGGGGGAGGGAGGCCCCGTCCCTCCCAAGGACTCTGGCTGACGGCTCCCCCTTTGGCCATGCCCAGGTGTCCAAGGCGGCCGCAGACCTGATGACTTACTGTGACGCTCACGCCTGCGAGGACCCCCTCATCACCCCTGTGCCCACCTCGGAGAACCCCTTCCGGGAGAAGAAGTTCTTCTGTGCCCTCCTCTGAGCTGCCCCCGTCCCACCGCCCCGTCCCTCTTCCCGGGCCCTTTCTTAGGTCAGTAACTGCTGCCAGTCCGAGGGTCCCCGCCTGCCGCCCCCTGCCCACGCCCACCCCTGGGAGATGGTCGCAAGCACAAGCCCCCCAACCCGGCCGCCCACCCGAACTCGGGGCGCCATGGGCCCCACCCACAGATGGGCCCTAAGGCTCTGCCAGCGTCCCGCCCACGTCTCTCGATGACCTGCTCCCGCCCGGGGGAGAGGGCTGGGCTGGCCCGGGGCCACTGGATGGACGGGCGCCGTCATTTGAATAAAGTCAGCCGGAATCTCCGAGGGCTGCTGGTGTGTTAAGCGTTCTTGGGGGGCAGTGGGTGGTCGGGAGAGTTTGGGGCCGGCTGCGGCAGGTGCAGGGCTCGCCGGGGGCCAATGGGAGGCGCGGGAGAGCGGCGGGGCGGCGAGCGCGTCTGCAGTGGAGTAATTGACAACACACAAAGGCTCCCGAGCGCGCGCGCGCGCGCACACACACACTCAAACACGCGCGCGCACACGCACGCACACGCGGGCAACGAGAGCAAGTGAAGCTGGTGGAAACCAGTGAACAGGAAAACAGACCGAACGGCGGGTTTGGGGCGGCACTCGGGGCGGCATTCGGGAGCCGGCGCGGACAGACCTCGGCGTCGGAGGGGAGGAGCTTGGCGCCTTCCTGCGGGCCGGCCGCTTTCCTTCTAAGATGGCCGCGCCCACCGCGGCTCCCCTTCCAAGATGGCGGCGGCCGCGGGCGCCGGGCCAACATGGCGGCGGCCCGCGTCACCGCGCCTCGCCGTACGGGGCCGCTCTCGGCCGCTCCCAGGCTTAAAATGGCGGCCCGGGCGCCCGGGATTCTCGGTCTCGTCCCGTCCGCGAGCGTCGGCTCGCTCTCAAAATGGCTGCCCCGGGCCTCTGTCGCGGCGACCGGCCTCCGCTCGACTCCCGCGCCCGCCAGGGGCGCTGCCTGGCCTCGCGCGGGGGCTGCACACGCCCCAAATGGCCGCGAGGCCCCCTTGCAAGTCGGCGCTTTCTGCAGCGCGCGCGGAGGTGGCCGGCGCCGGCCCCGGGACGGCCGCGTCGCTCGGGCTCAGGGACACCTTCCCGGACCCCGTCAAGGCGGATCGTCCGGCAGGAGGGGTCGGCCGCGGGCGGGGAGGCTGGGGGGCGGGGGAAGCGCACAGCGCCGGCAAGTCAAGGGTTGTTGGACTCGATGCCCCCTGGGTGGTCCTGAAACAGCTCCCAGAGACCGTCTGAACCCCAGCACGTCCTAGATTCGTTCTCGCCCCGGCTCCCCTTATTCCCTCCAGCCTCCCCCCGCGCCCCCGCCCGAAGTTCCTTGGGTCTTTGTGCAAAACGCGTGGATGCGTCCTGTTGGGGGACGGTGGCAGGAATCAAACCAGGGTCCCGTATATACCCAGGGCTTCTTCCTACCATTGAAATAAACGGCTGACGTTTTCTGCAAACACCCCCCACCCCTACACCCAGCAGTGCATGTGTAGCCGCGTGGTGCTCGGATGGGAACTGGGGCTCCGCACAGAAATCGTGCTCAGCTCTTTGTGCTCTCCAGATTTATTTAAAAAAGAAAATTGCTTTGAGGCCATACCCCACTGTGCTTGGGTAATCCTATAGGGTGCAGGGGATAGAATGCATGTCTCCTCCAAGGCAAGTGCTCTACCCACTGTGCTCTCTCTCCAGTTCCCATTGCCCCCGCCCCCTCCCTGAAGCTCAGAACTTGAGACAAAGTTATAAATGACCATTAAAAGTACTAGTTATGGGGCCAGAGAAATAGTAGAGTGTGTAAGATGCTTGCCTTACACACGGCTGACCTGGGTTCAATTCCTGGCAGCCCATATGGTCCTCCGACACCTCCAAGGATGATCCGAGTGCATAGCTAGGAGTAAGCTGAGCACCGCGAATGTAACAAAAAGAAAAATTCGAATTAGGGAGCCTGCAAGTATAGCTGGTAAGGTGCTTGCACACCTGGGTCAATCCATGGCACCACATATGGTCCCCTGAGCCCAACCAAGAGTGACAGCTGGGGGTAGCCCAATGACAAATATACTCATTCTACCACTTAGTAACCAACTGTTGCACAGAATGAGTAAGTGCTGAAATCAAGGTGAGCTCTTAGGGAACATGCTCTAAGTCCCTTGGGTGTGAAAAATCTGTCTAGGTACAGAGGGAGGAATTAAGACTAGTATCTAGATCTACGTGACTACTCTTGACAAAACACTAGAGGCCCGAACCTTGCATTAGGAGTTATAACTTGCTAAGTGCTAGTAATGCTTTTATTACCCAGGTCCCTGGCTCATTTGTCCTCCAGATGCACTCACTACAAATCACCCCCAGAGGGCCAGGGAGATGGGATGGCCGGGGCACATGCATGGTCATGCAGCAGACCAGGGGTTCCATCCCCAGGGGCCAGCCCAGCATGAAGTCAAGAGCAAGCCCTGAAGACCCCTGAATACGGCCCCCAGAACAAAGCCGGGGGCCACAGATGCCATCCAGCGAACATCTGGGTGCTTGAGGAGGCCACATCTCCTGCACTCCTTGTCAATAAACTCATTTGATTCTGAAATAGAATCTTATGTTATGTTTCAAGCCCCCGACTGTAGGTCCACTAGACAAAGGGTAGGTGTTACCATTCATCCTCTTCAGTGGCTCAAACTCTGAGCAATGGTGAGCCAACGGCCCCAGAGTGAAGGCTGGCAGAACAGGGACTCAGGCCTTTCTGGGCAGACGCCCAGCAGTGGCCGAGGAACGAGGATCCGCGACCCGTGTCTGACCCGGCATGCGCACTCCACCCCAGTCAGTGCAGTCAAGGAGATAGGGTGAATTCAATCCAAATGGTCGTTTATTCTAAAACTGGAAGCTATTGTGCCTACATTTTGCCAGAATGTTGTAATGAGAACAGGGGAGGAAAGTTACAGATGTAAACAATGACACAGTTACATTTTTCTTTTTTAAATGGTAAAACCCTTTTTTTTTTTATACTGGCCACTTCCAAGAATGCTTTTTTTACAGGTTGTGCAAAAACATTTACAGGCTCCATGTGGTGTTTTTCTCACAAGCTTTTCCCATCTACAACAACTACAACAGACGTCTGATAAAACACTAAACAAGTCTAAGGAAAACAAGGCTAGAGATCCCGCGGGTTAATTCACACTTCCCCCCAGAACATTGTTTTTTTCATAATCAAGAGATAGAAACAAAACCCAGACATCTACTGCTGTTGCCAGTGATCTCTTAAGACTAAACCAACAAGGACGTGGCAGTTTCCTCTCCACCCTAGAAAAACAGCTTTTTAAAAGAGGACTCGACTGTTCAAAATTAACAGCAAGTACCGCCCCCAACCCTCCCTCCTTGTCACCCCCCCCCCCCAAGTGGCTACAGCTTTGTCCCTCAGGGTCCCGGTAGCCCCAAACCACACCACTGTCAAAACATGGTATCTGCTGGAAGACTGACCAAGTTCTAAAGGGGCAGCCGCTTCTGCCTCAAATTCTATTTTTCATTCGAACATAATCCTGTCCTTACGGGATTATCTTTGGGAAACCAGTTTTCCTGCTCCTCGTCCTGCAGAGGGGCAAAGCTTCCCCCACCTCCCTTAGTAAAAGTTAGTGGGTTACAGAGAAGTTCATGCGTGAGGAAAAGGCCACTGCAAGCAAGCTGACCTACTTCCTCCCCGCCCCCCTTCATTCCAGCCTCTGGGGTCAGAGGTGCTCGTGGAGCAAAGGGTGTGTCACAGACGGGCAACGACACGAGCAGGGCCAGAGACAAGGGCCTTTCGCGCCTGGCAAAGGGCTGCACGGCAGGATGGAGGGAGAGAAAAGAGCGAATCTCAGCACAAAACGTCAAAGGACACTGCCCGGGGGAGGGAGGTGGAAATGAAGCGTTTTCCTAGCACGACCCCGGGCTCTCCCGGAACTAGAATGCTGCGCTGTGGCGGGTGGCGCGGAAGCTCTGGGTGGACACAAGGCGGAGCAGGAACGTGAGTTACATTGAAGCTAGATACTGAAAGAGCATTCCCATAGCCCGCTCCTAGCCTTGAACCCAGCACGTGGGAGCTGCTTGGCAAGAACTGGGTGTTGGTAAAGTTACGAACAAACAAACAAAAAATATATATATATATCCCAACTGAAGTCTCTTGGCTAGAGGCCTCTCTGGGGGACACACAGGGATAGCACCCCAGGAGCGATCCTGTCTCTAACGGGAAGGGGTGCTCCCTTTCACACGCACATTCACGCTCCGCCCACGTTTCAGCAGCCCCCGCTGAGCTGCCTCCCCCCCCCACCCGCCCTGTTCCTAGTCTCCCTCCAACTGTGTATCAAAAGAACCAGCAGGGCCGGCACCCTCCACGCGGTATAAAATAAGTCGCTATTCTCAGCACCTGGGCCCGGTCGCCCACACCACAGGATTCACCTATATACAAATTCTGCTGCGGCGAGGAGGACGAGTCCTGCTTCGGTTCTGTGAGCTGAAACCCTGAGAATCGTTCCTTCGCTCGCACCACTAAGAGGACAGAGATTCTAAACAGAGATGATTCCAGCCAGCCTTCCCGCTGGTGGCCACCTCGGCGGACGCCCAACCTTCGGGCTGCGGGCTGCGGCCCCGTCCTCTGCGCCCGGGCTCTGCGGGCCGTCACCTAGAGGGCCTGGGATGCCTGTGCGGCAGAAACCCCGCCCCGATGCGCACACGCCATGCCTCAGCCAGACAGCACGAAGGCACAGGAAGCAGAGATAGGGACGCTTTGGCCTCCCAGCCCACCGGACCAGATATCCCAAGAGGGAAAGGTCGGTAAAGAAAATACAAACGGTTAGTTGGTGCAAGTGATTGATAAGAGCCAATCGTTTATTTTCACTGCCCCGGTCACAAGCTCTCCCTCGGCCCCGCTGCTGCCTGCTCTGGAGAGCGCCCCCCGCTCCTCCTGCCAGCCCGGCTCTCCCCCTCCGCTCAGAAGCCAGAAGGGCGACACCTCCCGTTCTTTTCCTGTCCAACTGCAGGGTCTGGGACAGGCAGCCCTAAGTGCTGCTTTCTGCGCAAATGGTTTTTTTTTTGTTTTTTTTGATTACAAATCTCTAACTAGGTTTGAAATGTTTTATAGAATAAGACAATATTCTTTTCAACAAACTTTAAAAAAAATGTACAGTTTTGTTGTCTGTTTCCACCTCCCCCTCCCCCCCACCCCTGCTTGCGCACCCTCCCCCCCACCACCCCTCCCCGGCAGCTCAGCCCCACCCCGACAGCCCCTGTTTTCCTTGGTTGTGTTTTGGGGGGTGCCTGGCACCCCCAGAGACTCAGCTTCGTGGCTGACAGGCGACCATGGCAGGGGCTTCACCGATACCCTTGGTAACCGTAGTAGTTCCGGTAGTATCGGTCTCTGTCCTGGGGGTGGTGGTAGTAGTAATTCTGCCACTGGAAGAGAGGGGGACCCCGTCACTCGGAGCCGGGGCTCCCCAGGGCAGGAGGGCACAACCCCCTCTGCCGGCTCTGCACCCCCCGCCCACCCCAGCCCCGCGGATACTCACGTCCCGATTGTACTGTCTGTAATAGTCTCGGTATCTGTTGTACTCGTAGTCTCGGCTGTAGAACCGGTCGTAGTCGCCCCGGTATCGGTCGTAGAAGTTACGGTAGCCCTGAAGAAGGAGAGGGCCGAGAGGTGAAGGCGACGGGCCTCCAGCCCGGCTCCGAGAGACACAGGAGG